TGTGGTGTCATTACTCCCCATAAAATTAAGTTTGAAGAGAGCAGTGGGTGTTTGAAATTCGTGTTTTCAGGAGAGTAGCTCCGAAAATTCATGAAAAAGAAACGGCCCAACGGCACGATTTCTTTAAGGGTCATTGTAGACCAGTTCAAGCATACATTAGAAAGCTCCAACCTTCTAGTTTCTTCCATGGGGAAAAGAACTGCAAAAAGTTAAACCTGGAGGAAGCTATGACAGTTCAAAGCCAAAAAACCAGCGCTCTGCCATAAATCGGTCCGCGATGTCCCCAAAACGGTTCAACGGGGCGATTTTTTGACTCCATCAGTGTTGAAAAAAGTTCAAGCATTCGTTAGAAAGCTCTCTCTGTGCACAAAAAAACGGTCCAACGGGGCGATTTCTTAAAGAAACGAAGCTTTACAAAAGTTCATGTACATTTAAGAAAGGAAATAACCTCGAGTTTCAAAATTTTCTTACCACTTCTCTCACTTTCTTATTTGAAGAAAATTAAAACCGTCTGAATGAAGAAGTGCGCCTCTCTGCTAATTCTTAACTCTCTACCCCATAACTAAAAGAGTTCTGGAGATACTCTCTAAGATTACAAATCTACTTGGCGACTGGGAACTGTTGACGCTTAACAAAATCCACTCTTTGAAAATCGGTAGTTTTCCTTGGTCTATCCGCGCTGGGCCGAGTAGAAGTTGGTGCGCGCCAATGGCAACGCGACGCTCCGCGCACAATGTGGTGTAACGCTCGAAGTAGTGCTGCAAACTAGTATGCTAACACACAAATACCAAGTGTACAGTACACAATAAGTGTTTGGGGGGATCGTATCAAGGCTCGCTAAAAGGAGGGGGTCGTGAAATTTTCCAAATTGGTCCAACATGACGGTTGACCTTGCTCGGGACGATCGTCACCGACTTACTGACTATGTCTCTTCTCCTCACCGCTCTTTGGACTAGAATTTTCCCAGCGGAAGTGTCGATTACACGCATTCTAGATCAAAGGGGAGGGGAATACTGTCTGCAATTACCTTCGAAATTATTCTTGGATCGTTAATAGTAACTGCACTGATTGTGAGTGTCCAAGAGTAGTAAAAAGCTAGAGATATGGCAGCGCTTCAAGCATCTTTGGAATGATCAAAAAGTTTTTTGATACGTTCCGCAATGACTCTTGTGCCGAGCCCAGGGCGTCGAAATGCATGAATCTTACCTCTTCTTCAAAAGACCACCACGAGGCATTCCGAAAATGAGGTCAGAGGTTTTCTACTGGCAGATATTCACTTTTGCGGGCACCTGCCTGTCTATGCTCACGAGAAATTGTTCGCTTTTTTAGAGTGGACTCATCATCATGAAACAGTGCAAAAAACCAAAAAAAAACGAAAACAATTAGAAAAATCTCAAAAAAAAACGGTATTGCTGCCAGTTTGGATACGATGATTATTCCTCGAGGGGAAGTCGTCGATAATACTAGAAAGTCAAATGGCTGCTTATTCTGGGAATGAAAAACTCGAGAATGAGCTTATAACTAAGAAAGGCGCTGTAGTCACACTGAAGCTTTGGAAAACAGGATGAAAGACTCAGCTAGTGAGGCGGAAATCGATGAACGCAATGAAGTTGTTTTGAGAAGCACAGGTGAGAGAAGATTTATCGACAAAGGCGTGATAAATGAGGATGTTTTCCACAAAAAAAATGTGAAGTGTGGTCAGGAGAAGGGCAGAGTTGAGTGCAAAACACGACCATGTGGCCTTTGTCCAGCTAAGGCCAAGCATCGATCACATCAAGTCAACAGCAGCTGTCTGCGTCAATACAGCAGCAAGAACGCGGTAGTCAGCCTGGCACTAAGGTCCGTCTAGACACAAAGTGGGACTCCCTCGGTGAACCAAGGAGGAGGGGGCAAGCCAAACAACAGCGCCTAGCGAACAAGATGCTCACCGCGTCAAGGGAAGTTCACCCTCTAGAGAACATTGCTTACGCCAGCAACACTTCTTCAGAAGATTTTTGCACTGTTCCGTGGGACCATCATGGAGAAATGACTTTCGCAGAAGTGGTTTTTTTGGGAAAAGCACGTCGAATATACAGAAAAGGTGACTTGTCACCCAAATGATCGAAGTTCAGGCATGCATCCGTCGGTGTTAGGTGTGCTCTCATTTAAAGGCACGCTTTCCTTTTCGTTCCATCGCGGTAGATAGGCAGACAAACACTGATGTCGCGCCATTCTTTACGGCTTGAAAGAAAAAGACGCTAGAAGCTCACTCATTTTGCAATCCACCCCAGGATGAACATTGTGTCGAGGACGTGGTCGCTGCGGTACAACCTTCCCCCTAATTTGGAATCTGATGAGTATGAGTAATCTGATGAGTTTGGTACTTCTTGTAACACCACGCGTTAACACAAAGGAGTGCAAGTATCAAGAAGGAGGAGTCGTGCACATCACCTGTATCACCTGTCGTCCCATTGATCGTCGATTTGCTCGAGCGGGTGCCAGCAACGTCTCCATTCGTCCCTGTTGCGTGCCAGAGTGGTCCAGTGGATCCTCCTCGCTCGAGGGACACGAAGCAGTTCGTTTTTTTAGTTCTTTCGTGAAGAAGTCTTACCATCGGGCCGGCGGTCGTCCAGGTGTTCGTTTGACGTCCCGAGGGATCCAGTCGGTCCGCTCTGGTCCAACGGTCATCGCAAAATCGCATGACGCAAATCGTGCACATACAGGAAAACATTGACAGAGTCATACGCGCGCGGTCGGAGGATCAAATCCTTGATCGCGCTCCTCCCGAGCCATCAAGCCTTCCATTCTTCCGGGTACCAAATAAATGGAAGCTTGGTTGGCTTGGGAAGACAAAGAAGAATCCTGTGCGATCGTTACGATGGGATGACCGAAACGAATAAACGATAGCAACGATTGCACTAAAACACAAATAAGCACAGAAATCACGACGTCCGCCTTCATATAGATCGCGAAGGCACTTCTCGAATGCAACAAGATGTTCGACGAGGTACTCTTCCTTTCTTTTCTTTATATCATAGGTGCTCCTTGCGACATTCACCCACCCTCACTTTCGCATTAAGGAACAGCAAGAAGTCATCAGTTCTTGGGTTCTCTCTGGTGAAGGATACGTTCGCATCTTGTGTATTCAATCTCTAGTGTTTCCACAAAATCGTCCTCCGGAAATCCAATAACAAACACGTCATCAGTGTAACGCTTATCAGTAATTTTTTCCACTTGTTAATGACGACTTTTCTATGTGGTCCAAATAGATGACTGCCAACACTGGCGCTATGCGTTTAGCTATAGCTTAGCCTCGTTTTTGTTTGTAAAGCTTGTGGTCAAAGCGGAATATTTCACATTCCAGTGCCGCTTAGTGGCAGTGTTCAGTACATAATAATCTAGAAGTGCCCATTCGATCATATGAAGGCAAACGACGTGAGAAACCTAGACAGAACAAGGAAGAAGCTCGGTAGCGCGAAGGGACCCAGCCTTGAATGCTAAACTTGAAAAAAATCTTGAAAGTAATGGCTACGTTGAGTTAAATATCAAAACCTGGGTCATAGATCACCGGACGGAATAACTCTTGTAGTGCCGTTTGTCAACGACAGAGTCACCATCCAGAAACTCTCAGCTTCCAGTTCGACTGGCTTTCCGTCCTCCTCCTATACTCAAGGATCATTTCAGTTCATCGCGAAAGTCGGTGTCACAAAGAATTTTGTCGGTATTGTACATCGGAAAAGATTAGTGAAACCCAAGGCACCAACTATCTTGTTGAGTGTGGAGGATGTGAAGAGAAATATGTGGGGGAGACGGCAAGATAGAAAGAAATGATAGAAATACCATGGTTGCGCAGTTTCTTCAAAATTGTGTCAGTAATGTGTAAGTAATGGGGTGCAGAAATGGAGAATTCGCAGAAATAAGCACATCTTCATTTGGAAGGTTGTGATTTTCTTCGAATAAGGAAGTGTGAGGAATGGTCAGAGGATTTTGAAGTTTCAGGCTGTTTTATCTCTGAAAAGCACTCGAACTTTAATGAGTTTCATTTCTTCAAAGAACCACACCGTTGGACCGTTTTTTATGCACAACCGGGTTTTTTAGCTTTCAATTACTATAGCTTGCTTCAGATTCAACCTTTTACAATTATTGTCTCCTGGAGAAAACCGGAATGGTAGAGCTCCCTTATGGATACTTGACCTCGTCCAAAATAACCCGTTCACAAAATCGCCCCGTTTTAATGAATTTTCAGAGCTACTCTCTGAAAACGCGAGTTTTCGACGCACAAACACTCACAGCTCTCTTCAAACTCAGTCTTACTGGGAATAATGAAACCATGACCAGGTATAAGCAATGTGCTTCATAGGATACTAAATTCTTCTCATGAAGTGGCCAACAGGTTAATATTTTTTTCCAAATATTTCTTGTTAGCCTTTATCAGTGAATCTACCCAAGTGGCCAATCTCTTACTAACATAGGTTTGGTTTGAAGACATTGATCCTTCAGGAGCATATTTGTTCACGTGAATAGTCACATATGGGCACTTCGGCAAGAAACTCTTCCGCTCTGGGGTGCGCCATGCACTCGATTGTGGTTAGTAGTTGAATAAGCACTCGAAAGCTATGTCTGTCATCTATGTACTGCGACGTTGACCGACAACCCCTCCCACCTCTTCAGTCGACCAGAAAGACCCCCTCGTCGGATCTGCCCACCCCTCGCCATCCGACACTGACACTTTAGCAGGGAGAGCCTCAGCGTTGGGGAGGGCAACACCGCAAGAATGGCATCAATGCTGATATCAACCGACAAACAAGGGGTCCAATATCCCGGATTTTGGACCGTTTCCCATGGTTTCTTCTTCATCCCTGCATCAGCAACCAGCTCTACCTTCATTTCCGATAGCTTTTCCATCGTAAACTCCACCTTTAATCGACCAATAAAGAGTGGATGCAGAAGCAGAGAAATTTCTATTCCTCAATGACGGTTTCTCTCTTTGTGGCGATGTGGGTGCAGTCAATGACACTGACCTTGGTCCTCTTGGCGAAGTGCTCACTTTTTCGAACGAGTGAGCAGCTAGTGCAGTCAGCTGTGATTCGCTAATTATAGACGTGGCTTCCCTAATGACTTCGAACAATTTGATTTTTTAGTCAATCCACGGGAAAAAACGTGAGGCATCCCTCTACCTTAGCAAGTATTCAACTAGTCAGCTTTCCTGTCTTCATTTCCTCGCCATTTCACTACATTCAAGTGTGGGTGAGAAGAAATGCATGCTCAGCTGCACGTGCGCAGCTACGCAAATGTCAGCGAGAAAGCACCAATAATTAAGTAAAACAAAAAATATCATAAATCATCCAGGCAAAGGAAACTCAAGGATTTTGTTATTTGGCAAAACAGCAAACGAAGTTTGAGCTTGGATCACATCCATCGGAACGCCTCCTAATAAAAGATCCCCTACGACTTCCATGCCCTGCAATAGTGCAAATTGGTGGACGGAAAGCCACAGAAAAGCAGGGCAGCCTAACTCGGTCAAACCCTTTTCGAATTCTGAAAACATTACTTGTTTTCACTGTACATATTAAATAAGTGATAGGATATGTGAAAATCGATGGCAGATATAGGGAATGAGTGGGAAGAGGTGAAAAGCAAGCGGAGCTTCAACAGAACCGTACCAATTGAGAATGAGTAGGGACGCCATCGAATTGCTCGAAGCGCGGTAGAACGAAAAAAACGATAGAGCGAGGATGAGAATCACGAAGAACATTTTACCCAGAAGGTTAGTTGTTTCGCTGGGTACCCACGTGATAGTCAGACCGGAAAATCAGATGTTCGTCCGACTATCATCAGGAAAAGTGACACAACTTGACTTCACTGCAGCAAAGAGCTATGCGAATCAGCTGGCAAATGAGGACAAAGGCGTGCTAAGATATGTCGATAGAGACATCCGACAGGAAAAATGAAGAAGAAGACGCCAAAATGATATCTATCTCCACAAAATAACCAGCCCCAAAATGACACGAGCATTCTGACACACCCATCGACCCACATTGCCCTCCCCTTCCCCATACCCGATCGACGCAAACTCCACAATTAGTTGATTTTGCAAGTATTTACTTAAGTAATGCGGCCATAATAGGGGAACATTACGACGAAGTGCTGCTTTTCTTCTGGTGATCAACAAAATACACTACAAGTCCTTGGATAAATCCAGGTGTTAACACATGTTGGGAAATGTTAACATGTTGTTCGTTTTTGTTTCGAAAATGGTTGGGTTTCTCGATGGGGATATTCTTACGTTATTGTGATGGCGAATCCCTTAAGCAATGGTGAATAAATAACTCAATTTCCCAGAATCAACTTGAGGGGTCGCGCCGTTTATTTGAGATCAAGTCAAGAGCCGTGATGCTGTGTTAGTCCAAGAGAGCTAAATTGTCAACACGTTGACGTGTGGTGTGATGTCGAACCACACTTTCACATGAAGCTGACCAGTATTCCTTTTGATTTTTATCATAACTGATAATGAAAACGCTGACGGATTAATGCCTATCGATGGGAGAATACGAAAAATGTTGGAGCAGTGCGCGCAACGGCGCTCGTCAACGTGTTAAAGCAACAGTCCCACCAGGGTTTCATCCTCGACACAAATGGTGTGGGACGATGCGCTATCCTAGTCAAGAACATAGGAAGAAAGAATTAATGAAAAAACTCCTCTTGAAAAGCCGCTAGAAAAGGAGCTGAACGGCTTTCCAAGGTTAATTTCTTGTTTAGTGCTCTTTCTATGTTCTTGACTAGGGCTAGCGCTTCGTTTCACACATTTGCGTCGAAGACAAAAACCCTGCAAGTACTGTTGCTTCAAGGTGGAGCATATAACTGAAATCAACAGCGAAGCATGTTATCCAAGAATAACAAAAAGTTTTGAAAATGAGTTCATATCAGGAAACATATTTGATGGTATCCACACGATATGAAATATTGGCGAGGAAGTTCGATTTAGGGGAAGGGGACCGTGAATGTTCCCGGCAGCTTCCCTCCCCCCCCCCCATTTTTCTAGCATTACGACCCACTTGCTGTGTCAAAAGATCAAGCCGAATATTATTGAGCAATCAAAGTTGCAACAGCAAGGGAAAGACCAGTGAAAAGAGCGAAGGAACCAAGCCCAGCTGTGGACTGCCAATCAATAATTGGCCGTAACAAAAAGAACGCACGGTTGTTATATGTGAAGGTGACGAGGGAGCAGTGAAAACGAGCTCGCCGGTAATGTGATCTGCCCTGCCGGCCATGGCAGCAGAACGACTCGGCCGTATGCGGGCAACAACCTGGCTTAAATCCAGACGTTTTACCAGGAGACAAAGCGTTGCTCTCTCGCAGCATTCGCTTACCAAGCAGCCGCTCGTCAATGCTCACAGCTGACTCAGCGAGATAGCGGTCGAACATATCCCCTCGAGGCTACCCGCCGCGTGTCGCCTGCTCGGCCAGGTGCTCGGCTTTGTCCGTGTGCCATCAATGAAGTAGCCGTAGAAGGATATTCGATGTAATTCCATTAGGAAACGACTTGTTCCACGAAGGGTGCACCTCGTGGACAACAACAGGAGCAACGACGGGTAGTTGCGAGACGGTTGTGCTTAAGCGCGATGAGAATGCGAAAGCGGGCAAGTAAATGAGCTCAACAAAACGGCACCATTCTAGGGATGGAAAAAAGACCGATTGACGACGTCTGAAAATGCACTTCTATCTCAGCGTGTTTTAGGGAATGTCAGATACGAGAAAAATCGAAGTGGACGGAGAATCTGTGGAGCAATAAGCCTGAGGAGAAGTAGCAGCGAAGCAAAATTTTTCCTAAACGACGCTGAAGAAAATGGCAAAACACTCACTCGAGATTTTCCTGGTGGGTGAACTCGACACGACCTTTTCTGAATCGACCGTCGCGCCCCAAGAGCGCGTTACGAAACTTGTTCCATCATTGTGATCGTTAAGCCAGCAAAAAATCCCATCGAAGCGCGTCAGGAATACAATTCTAACTTATTGACCGCTGACACAACGCACGTTTCCCATGAGGTGGTCGCCGGGCCGAACAAAACCGCTTGAGGAGAAAGCCGGCGCTCACGAGGGATGGGCCTCCCACTTCTTCAGCCAAGCTGTCAATTACACTAGAACGACAAATAGAGCACAATGGGGTGCGGATATCGTGAAAGGGAATTGCGTCCGATGGCTGTGGGATTACCACGCCGCACTGGTGATTACCTGTGGAGAATGACCTTCAGTGAGCGAATCGATAACACGGGACGACAATTTCTCCATGGATAGGACTATCGTACTGGCGTACGTGATTACAATGCTACGACTAGGCAGATCGGTGAGTGTGGGAACTGATGTCTTTGAAGAAACCAGTCGCGCATGAATCGAAGCCACGAGAAAGTCTCATGAAAGACCCCACACGATCGATCTCACGACGACACTGTCGACTAAAAGGCGACGGCGAGGCACGCTGTAGTGTATTCAATAATGCCCGACGTCATGAATAGCCGTCTGGAACAGTCGAAACTAACAGCCAGGAGTGATGCAAAGCTCAGTGGCCTGAGCGAGCTTCGATGCACTGGCTTCGGGATTGGTGAGGCCTTCCTTACCACTTTGTCACCTCCGTTCTGTTTTGGATAAACCAACAAATCAGCTAGAGAAGGGAGGGGATGTGTCCTTCACATCTTGAGCGGTTGTTCGGAAAAGCATAAAAAAGGCGAAATTCCCCGAAAGATATGCAAAAGTACAATTTTCGTCTTTTGGAAAATATGTAAAATAAAACCGTCAGGGAAAATAGAAGTGGAAGGGAGACTGCGATCAGTTGGTAGAACTGTTTACAATCCATTCAAACGAGTAAATGATTTAGTTTGCGCCCAAGCTCATGCGAAGAATGTGTACAGAAGTTTTTGAATGGAAGAAACTTCTTCAGTTCGGAAAAGAAGCGCAGCAAACGAAGCTCATGTTCTTCTGCATGCTAGCATCTGGTGGAGCACGAGGAGAGCCGGGAAACACCGTTGATGACCTGGTGATGGTCGCCCTATAATTGCATTAAAACGACAAACGCGAGGTTCTCCAGTGGTTGACTCGCTCGGGACGGTTTCCTCGCGTCGCCCGCACTTTGAAATGGCCTTCGTTCTTTGGTGAGAGGAAACCAACTTTCTAATGGCGTCACGAAAGCGACCAACAACGACGGAATGACAAACGGAAGTGTACGACTAACCACGCCGCCCTCTCGGCTTTAAAAGCAATGATGAAGTGTATTGATGTATTCTGGCGCCTTTTGCATGTTTTGCACAGCAAACAAACGACGAAAAAGGGGCAGCGATCAACACACAAAGCAGGAACTATTTGCTCTATTTGCTCTGCCGAAGTAGATGCTTTTATTCGATCTGCAAAGTCACCAGGGCAGACGCATTTGTGTTACCCAGGGGACTTGCAAAGGCCTTGGAGTTGAGAAATCGAAAATCGAAGAAGGCAAATTGTTCAGGAATGGAAAGAATACGAGGCAAATGGTCTGCGAAATCTTTGGGGGTTCTCTCGGATTTCTGTTAACCGCGAAAGAGAACAATGCAGAAATATATGGCTGGCATGGAATTCGCCGAAATCTATTTGCTCGTCGTTTCGCAGAGACCACGACTCAATTTTATTCGGGCATTTCCGGGATAGACTCCCACCCACTCACTTCGGTTTCGCAAGTAACACTTCAGAACGATTCTGCTAGCCTGTCAGTGAGTCATACTCAAGGAATTCATTTTCAAACTATGTAGTACACGACGGTGAAGGCAGACAGTCAGTAATGGAGAACATTGGTGGCTCTATGAAAGAGCGTATTTGTATAGTAGGGAAATCAGGACAGCCAAAAGGGTGTTTGCCTAGAAAGAAGGTCTGGCCCTCTCGACGAGCTCGCCCTTCGGAGCAGGGTCAACCGCCCGTTGAGCAAAGAGCAACGAGGGGGTCGTATTCGGCCCAAGGAAATAGAGGGGATCGTAAACGAGGAAACAAGCGGCGGGATGCATAGCGATCCTCAGCTGCTGAGGAGTAGAGGGGATGTGCAATGTAGTGGAAAATTAATTTATGAGAAAACCTGTTGAAATGTAATCTTGCAAAGAACTTATAAAATAATAATAATACAATCCTACAAGTGAAACATGTGAAACAGGATCACTATGACACACACAACTACTTGCGACACTCTCACCGTTCCAGGGAAGTGGAGGACCTTCAAATGCCAGCGCGACTGCTAATCGCTGACTGGTTCACGGCACATCCCTGAACAAGTTCCTCAAAACAATTACTCTGTCAGCGGTCGTGAGCAGACAGATTTCTCCAAAAGAAACTTGATGCTTTCAGATCAAATCTAAGCGGATGAACGTGCAATGAATGTGTTGGATTCACTACTAAAGACCTGTTAAAATTTTAGTTAAAACGATTTTCAGAAGCAGTTTCATAAAGCATTCATGTAGACTCCAACGGTTTTTACCACTTCTTATGGTACCAGTTTTGAAGAAGATTGTGGGGTTTGAAATTTGAAAAGTTGCGTTTCAGGAAAATGGTCTGAAAAAGTCACTGTGAAAAAAAAACGGAACAACGGTGCGATTTTCCGAAAGAGTTGTCATTTAGAAAAATCTTGATATTTTTTCAAAAAGGTCAATCTTCAAGTTTCTAATTAGCTTTGAAAATCTGCAAAAAGATAACAATGAAGGGAGCTATTTACGTTTGAATGACAAAAACTCGCGCGTTCTCAAAACTCGGACCACAAACCCCTGAGAAACGGAACAACGGGGATATTTCTGAAGAAAGTGATCTTTGGGAGGAGATCCGGTGCTTTTTCGAAAGCGCTAATCTTCTAGTCCCTAAAAGCTTTGAAAATCTGCAAAAGTTGATAACGAAAGAAGATTTGAACGTTTGAATGTTAAACCCGCATTTGCACAAAAACGGAACAACGGAAAGATTTTTCGAGGAAGTGAACATTTACTTAAGTTCAAGTTCATTCTTAGAAAGAAAATAATTTAAAGTTTTTGAATTTTTGTATTCCCTCTCATGAGTCCGCTTCCAAAGAAAGATGTAACCTTTCAAATGGAAAACTTTGTATCGTAATCGCATCTAATCATTTAATCTATGAAAAAAAGGAGATTTGTGGGTTCGAAAGAAAACTTGGTTGTTTTCTGAAAGGGAAAATCTGCGATTACTGCCACGTCTAGGTTAACGCGAAAAATTGGAGATTACTTTTAATGAGCAAAATTTCATGTTGTCTCGATACGCGTCCTCTGAGCGAGAGAAAGCGCGGGGACTCATTACTGCCCATCACCTCTCCATGTCGGTAACGGCCTACATACCGATCATGGACCTAAAATATGAAAAAGGACACAATGGCTAATGCAGTGGGTCGCACATATACTCTTTGAAAGGGTGGGGGTCGTAAAAGTTTCGAAATCTGCGCAACGACGGTTGACCCTGCTTCGGGGCGGCTTTGAGTGCAGCGGCACACGCAACACAAAAATGGCGACAAAAAATGTGAAAAAATTCAAGGAAATTTCATTGCAAGGGCGGTGGGAACTTTATTGATCGGGGCGAACCTAACCGTTGATTGGCGAATATTCAGGAAGTAATGAGTCAGGAGTGAGTCAGGATTTCCAGCTCGACGGACAAGAAAATGGAGGTTCGCGGTACTAGAGAGCGGTAAACTGAGGCCTGACGCTTTGAATGCAGTGGTAGCAGAGAACAAACATGTATAAAAAGTACTCTGCTTAACGAAAACACTTCGTACTCAATGTGAAAAAAAAGAAGCTTGTAGGAGGGAACAGCTTTACGGCAGCGAGTGCTGGCCCTTAAACAGGAACCACGAAAGACGGCTTTACTCCGCCGAGATGAGGATGCTGAGATGGGCCTGCGGTTGGACGCGACTGGAAAATATCTCTGCAAGAAAACATCATGAAACTGAATCAAATAGTGAATGCATATCCCCGAAAAATTGGTGTACATACTAAAACCCTTGAACTGATGGAAAACAACGAATATACAGGGGTGGCCAAAAAAAAGAGACACTTCACCACACATTTCAGACAGCACTAATCACACTCTGTTAATATCAAGTCGACTGCCGCCAACTCTGTATTAAAGAGCACATTCTATTCTACCTAAAATCTACATGACAGCCTTCTACAGTGACGACGTCAGAAGATTTTCCCACGGAAACATGGTTTACGGTGCGAGCTCAACGAGGTTGTCGAGGTACCATAGACCATTACACCGTCCCTGGAACGCTGGTCAAAAGCGGACTCGCACAGTCGTAGCTAGTGCCTCTTAGAAGCTATTCACGTACTAATCGGTTGAAGAAATTATGTAGCAGCTTTAGGCCGGAGCGATTACGATAAGCCTCGTGAAGCTTGACGGTGGCGGCAGTTGACGTTATATTCTGA